CATCTTGCTTGTCTTTGGCATTTTGTTGTCTGTCCCGATAATGGAGAAGCCGGAACAGCAGAATTGTCTGGCCATGCTTGTTTTTGTCAGCTTGCTGTGGGCTACAGAGGTCGGTTCATTCCCTACATCCTTCTTCAATAGCTAACCTTGGTCGTCGCTGCAGGTTATTCCTCTATTCGTCACATCGCTACTCATTCCCTTCCTCGTCGTGATGCTCCGTATCATGTTGTCCGACAACAAGCCCCACGAACGCTTAGGCGCGAAGGAAGCCACCGCCGCTGCTTTCAGCGCCATGTGGACACCAGTCATCATGCTGTTGCTTGGAGGCTTCACCATCGCTGCCGCGCTGTCCAAGTACGATATTGCTCGTCGTATGGCCATGTTCGTCCTGAGTAAAGCCGGGTCCAATCCCAACATCTTGCTGCTCACCAACATGTTTGTGAGCATGTTTCTGAGTATGTGGATCAGCAACGTCGCCTCGCCGGTGCTCTGCTACTCGATCATCCAGCCTCTGTTGCGTAATTTGGCGCCCGATTCCAGCTTTGCCAAGTCCCTTGTCCTAGGTATTGCTTTGGCCGCCAACGTGGGCGGTGCCGCGTCGCCAATCGCATCGCCTCAAAACATCATCGCTTTGCAGAATATTTATCCGAGCATGAGCTGGGGGACCTGGTTCTTCATCTCACTGCCAGTGTGCATTCTCTCCATTGTCGCGATCTGGATGCTTCTAATGCTTACCTTCAAGCCTGGTCGCGAGACAGCCGTCGCCATCCGTCCCTTGAAAGACAGGTTCACAGGAGTTCAGTGGTTCATCAGTATTGTCACGCTGTCAACCATTGCGTTGTGGTGTGGCAGTCACCAACTCGAACATATTTTCGGAGACATGGGCGTTATCGCCATTATTCCGATGGTCCTGTTCTTCGGCACGGGTATCCTTAATAAAGAGGATTTCAACAACTTCCTCTGGACGATCATCATTCTGGCCGCCGGTGGTCTCTGCCTCGGAAAGGCCGTCACGTCCTCGGGTCTCCTTCACACCCTTGCGAATGCCATCCGCTTGCGGGTGGAGCATCTGAGTCTTTATGGTGTGCTGCTTGTGTTCTCCGCCCTCATCCTGGTCATTGCCACGTTCATCTCCCACACCGTGGCCGCCCTGATCATGCTCCCGCTTGTGCGACAGATCGGACTCGGCATGGATGACCCGCACCCGAACCTGCTCGTGATGGCGAGCGCATTGATGTGCTCGGTAGCCATGGCTCTGCCTACAAGTGGCTTCCCTAACATGAGTAAGTCGCCCTCCACTGACAATACCAGATATGTATGTATGTACTGACAACTCGCAGCGGCCATCATGACCGAGGTACCCCAGACGGGTCAACGGTATCTGCAAGTTCGTCATTTCTTCACCCGCGGTATCCCCGCCAGCTTGATGTCCTTTGCCGTGATAGTAACGGTAGGATACGGGTTGATGTACATTGCTGGACTGTGAGCTGTTGTTACAACATCTTACACTAATTGCTTTGCTTTGCTTTGCTTTATTACTGGTTTACCTTATATGTGGTGGAACGCGAAAGATAATAGGCCTGATCCGAGCTGATTTAGCCACGCGGCGCAATCTGGTCTGGGCATGCTTATTTAGAGAGTGCGTTTTTATGGTGGATGTTGCTTATGGTTATACTCGATGGTGATGGTACCGATTTACTTTCTTTTTTTCTTCTCGTTTGGCTAGATGATGAACGATAGAAATATACCAGATTGAAGCTATAGAATTAGGGGATGTAGGCTATAGACTCAATTCATTATCCTGTACTAGGAACTACTGACCATGAAATAGAAATGGTAGTATGATGGAAAGTACAGGTCTGTACAGCACACAACGAAGCAACTGAACCCATGGAAGCAGAAAGCAGCTCCTGCACCAGCTCATGCATAACACAAGAAAGAAAAGAAAGAAAGAAAGAAAGAAGTAAGCAATATCATCATTCATCAATCGCGTTATGAAATAAAAAGACAACCACAACCAGATCTAGACCGTAGCAAGCAACAGTTGATCATGAACATAACATAACATGACATAACATAGTAACATATGTATGATGAAGAAAAACCACAAGTCGGTCAAGTAGTAGTAGTAAGTTGTAGTAAGACGAAGGTATCGTATCAAAGCATCATCATCGAAGACAAATGAACAGGAAAGAAAGAGTATAGCAGACACCGCGGTGAGACAACACGAGCGGGATAGTAACTAATAACATCCAACGAGACTGACTTTTTCCCAACAAGAAAATCCCAGTACTCTTTCCCCATCTTCAACACACTCAGTTCCTATCCGCACGAATTAGTCACGTATGTCCCAATATATAATATGTATGTATGTATGTGTGTAGTGTAGTGTAGTAGTGTAGCGCTCGCTCGATGTCACGAACTGAGGTATATCAGATAAATCATAATAGGTGAGGGACAACAATCTTTTCTTCCTTCCATCCAGGAAAGGAATCAAGAAAATGGGGAAATCCAAGGGGGAAAAGGAAACAGGGGAGGGAAAGGAAGAAGGGATAAACATACAACAACCCAAGGGTAAGATCACCATGAATCTTAGCCTTCAACTGCACCTCAATATCCAAATTGAGATCAAGTCTCAACCTCAACTGCTCATCCTTGCCTTCCTTTTCATCCCCGCCGCCGCCTCCGCCGAGGATCCCGCCTACAGCTTTGCCCGCACTGCCTGTTACTCCGTTCAGTGCGTTGCCTGCTGTGTTTTGCACGAGATCGCCGGCTTGGCCCACGCCGGGGAGGCCGCCCAATGGTCCGCCGTCCTGGCCTTGTTGTTGCTGTTGGGGACGCTGGCGGCGCTGGCGGCGGGGGCGGTCTACTTGTTGGTTGTTGTTGTCCATGTCGGAGTAGTCGTCTCTTTGGCGGAGTTTCTGGGGTGGTCGGGAGCGACGTTTACGGTCTTGGTTGTTGTTGTTGGTGGGTTGGGGGGCGCGTTGTTCTGGTTCTGGCTCTGGTTCTGGTTCGGAGTCGGAGGATTGGGGTTCTTGTTTGGGGGGTTTGGTGTCTTCTTCTTTGTCTTCTTGTTTGGGTTGGGGTTCTGGTTCTTCTTCTTCTTGAGGTTCTTGTTTAGGTTGAGGGTCTTCTTCTTCTTTGTCCTCTTCCTTGGGTTTGTCTTCTGTGTCGTTGTTGTTGTTGTCGTCGGTGTTATCCTCAGGCTTCTGTTCTTGTTCTTCCTGATCACCAGTAGGAGGGTTCTCTTGTTGAGGGGAGGAAGGGGAAGAAGTAGGGTTGTTGTTCTCTCCTTCTTGGGAAGGGTTATTGGTAGAAGAAGACTCAGGCTGCTTGGACTGATCAGACATGATGAAAGAAAGAGAAAGAGAAGAGGAGGAAGAAGGAAATCAACGAGATCTAATACTTCAGCGGCGGTCTGGGGCACGGGGACGTACACTATATAGGGCTCGGCTGGACCGTCCAATGGCCGGGCAATATTTATAGATGCAGGCTGAAACTTACCCGCGGAAATACGCAAGGGAGAGAGAAGTAGAGAGCAGAGTGAAAGTAAAGATGAGTGAGGGGGGTGGAGGCGACGTCAGTCGATGTATGGAAAATAAAAAGAAAAAAGAAAAAATATGGGGGGGAGGATCAAGCCAGTATGTCATTTGTGCCACTCATCCTCCACCTTGCAGGCAAGATGAATGAATGATGGATGACGATGATGATGATGACGTCGCGTGGCTGGAGTCCCTACTACATCTTACTTACTACTAGTATCTTTTACTTTTATTTTAGTACATCGGAGAATTATTGGAGAGATCGTCGCACTTCGGCCGGGATCGCTAAAGGGCATCGTAATCTTCCTGGGATCATCTTCATCTTCTTGTCTGTGACTGGGCTGGATCCACTATACGACGTCAGTGCACTGACTGGGTTTAGTTGGTCCACCTGAAAGCCTGTCAGACTTTACTTGGTCCCCCTCTATTATACTCTTTTACTAGTTTAGTCTACAGTAACTATCTAATAGGTATTTTCTTTGTCTTCTTCTGCCTTCAAGTTCATGGCAAAGAAATATCCCGGTATATGGCGACTCGGATACAGTTGCCGCGAGACTTTCAAGGGATAACCGTGGATGCTGGCGGGAGGTTTCTTGGATCACACGTTCGGCCGGCGGCAATGCAGACGAGGGTTCCATGGTCCAAATGTATCACAATCAGGGAATGAGTATCCGAAGTGTCGCGATGGAGGCACGTTATTGATGGTGACACAGACACAACACCTACAGAGACAGAATAGAAAATAGAAAAATAGAAAAAAAAAGAGGGCCCGGGCAACGTGGACATCGATGACGATCACTGGCTCGACCGTCATCGGCTGACTTGAGGATCCTCTCAGACACAATGCCGTTGACGATGATGATGATGCAGTCATGGTGAAAGTCTTCAATTTTAATTAAAATGAAGGGCCGAGCATCATTGGTGAAGGAGTAGTCGCCCAGCCGCTCCCTCCCTGCGCCCACAACGTCATCCTCCCATCCTCCAGCCCTGCACGTTCATTTCTCCACACCTCCAAACAAACGGCCATACATCATTTTCTGGTTTTCGTTTTCTTTTTGTTCTAGAGTTTAGGTTTTTCCCTTCGTTTCCCTCCGGAGTGTACTCCCTTTTTCCAATTTTTGCATGTTCAATTTACTACTATTTTATTCTCACTGACTGTCTGTCTGTTGTGTCCGCACTCCGGCCGACTGACGAATTGCCCCATCCAGCAATCCTAACGAAGACTGACCACTACTTACTTCCCTCTCTTCTTCGCCTCCCGCATTCGGGGTCCCTTTTGTATGTAAACCAAGTCATGCCGCTCTGCCCGCTTTCTGCAAATCTAACAGTCACTTCGGGCTGGTAGGAAATTATATCAATCCCATCCATTACATCTCTCTCACCAGTCACCACAACCCCGCCATCCCATCTTCTGTCCCGTTTACTACTCCATCCCCCACAATCTACTACTAGTTCAATATGGCTACCGCTCAGGCCGAGAAACCAGCCACCAAAACCTTTGCTAATGATCCTGATGATGTCTCCGACTACGATTCCGAGGATGACTATTCTGACGACGACACCCAACAAAAGCCTCAACAACAGCAACAACAACAACAACGCCGTCGTCGTCGTCCCCGGCAGCAAGACCCCAACGATGAAGACGATACCTACTACTCTGATGAGTACTCGGATGACTACGATGACTACGACGACGAAGATGATGACTATTACGACGACGAGGAAGAAGAAGTCCAGGCCATGGAACGCTACCAGCCCACCACCATCAGCAGCCGCGACAATGTGCCGGCACAACCGATCGCAAACGGCGGTATGCAAGAAGCGGAAGGTAAAACCGGCGATGACTGGGAGGATCAAGACGGAATGAAATTGAAATTGGAATTGAACTTGGATATTGAAGTCGAACTAAAGGCTCATATTCATGGTGACTTGACGTTGTCGTTGCTGTAAGTACTCCCCTTTTTTCTGCTTCTGATTGATCACATTGATTGCGGCGGCGGGGAATCTGGCCTGCGTGCGGACCAAATGCATGCAATGCAATCAATCAAATCACTTAATCTCGTTCGCTACTAGTACTTGATCGAGATCCGATGGTTGACATGATACCCCTTCTCTTTTCCAGCGCATGATTTCGCCTCTCGCCTCTTGCCTCTTTGCCTCCACCACCGCTGCATTTCTATCATGTTCACCCGTTTTTTCTCCGTCGCCGAATCCCGAGCGTGTTCGGTCGTCGTCGAATAGAACCAAATCAATCTTCCGGCCGAATTAGTTCATGGTTCGTTCGAAAAATTCCCGGGGTTAAGAATGGGTTTCTTTTCTTTTTCTCTTTTCGCCACATTGCTGGCGCGTGTGTGGTTGACGGTCGGTCGGTCGGTCGGGTTCCTGGCGATCGTTGCACTTTTCGTCCATTTCGGCCGGCGCTCGCAAAATCCACTTCATTCCATTCCGTTCCGTTTCCGTTATGACGTTTACGAAAGGACTTTCCTCGGTGCTTTTCTTCTTCTCTCAACAATAGCGGTTGTTATTTTGCAATGAATTGCCTTGTATTCTTTTTTTCTACATTGCCATTGTTCGGATAGAAGTGGCGACTGCACTTGGGTACTGATGTATGCGATGTTTCTTACGTATCTATGGTGATGCTGATGCCGATGCTTATTTTGACCCATCTACTCCATATTTCAGTGTCTGTGCGCACTTATACCTTTGTTGGTATGGTTTGCTTGATCTTTATTTGCAGCTATCATAACGAAGGACATACTTTCTCTCCGAATATATACTATAATGTCGATTGGTTAGTAGTGCTTTGTAGATTCCTTCTGCATATCATGTGCCTCGGAAACGCCGACCGTAGTATACAATATCACAATAGTCAGAGTATAGCCTTATTCGCAAGACACAACGATAGCCATCAATCTGACGTACGCCAATGCCCTAGACTGGAACTACTGCAGAGCAACTGGACTCACCCAACGTATATACCAAATCACAATATGCATCGCATACATCTGTACTCAACACTGACCTACCAGATGGTGCCTAAACGAAGTAATCATGAGTAACTGAACATGTCCATATAATACGCTTGCCTATACGAGCCAGAGAACCCGACGAAAATGTATAATATCTATTTTAAATCCAGATATGCATATGTCGTCGCCACCATACCCTTGCGGAGTGGTACACTGCATGGAGGAGATATCTATAGAATTCTTATCTGCTGTAGAACAAGAGAACGTGGTTCATGCTTTGCTTGATATGATGCAGTTCTGCGTATTAATCAAAGCAGTACATCACATCTTCTGGATATTCGCCGTAGAAGTTCGGGTCTGAAGAAAATCATCTGTATGATAAGTAAATTATGTTAGGATTCGTGATTCTTAGTGGGTCTCGTAATAGGTATAGATGCTACTTACTAGTTCTTCTATATCTCAGAGATAGGTACTTGAGTCTTTGGTGGTATGAGCTGGATACATGATATACTTTGAATACCTCACATAGTTTCTATCCGTTGTGGATAATTATGGACTGTAGGTGCTCTTTCTAGTAAATTATCTCAATAATTTCACTACTCAATTGGCGCTACCAGATTTTGAACGTCAGATGTCGAGACATCCAGTCTGTCAGTTTGCCTATTTTTCTTATCAGAGATACCACTGGGCTATCATGGCCAACACATTCCTGCGAGTAGTATTAAAGACTTGGTAAGATAACTGTTTTTGGCGCATTAATGGTCAAACATTGCGCGAACAACTGTCCAATTAATACTTACCGCTATTGTTGTGGACTGATCTAAGTGTTTAGTTGATTGTAGTATACTTCTGTTTAGTTCGAAGATCCAAACCCTATAGGGTGGGGGGATATAGTCTAGCTATATGATATACTACTGAGATTCTAGGAAATAGTCTCTGCTCCATGTTAGAGCTTGTAGCCTATCTTAGCTACTCGTGCTGAAGAACATTGGAGTAGCGAGCTAGTAATTGCTTGGAATATAGTATCAACTACTACTAACAATATTAATGTCAATATTGATATAGGAACAACGATATTATTTGTGACTCAACGCTACTTTTCTGCGATAAGGCGACAAGAATGCGTCATTGGTCGATATAAGGTAGAAATGCAAGCGCATTCGACCGATTTGCGATACTTTTCCAGAGTGTACATATATCTTGGTCAGTCAGTGGCTACACAGGATAATATTGCATGTTTGTACTTGCATTGAGGCTGTCAAGACATGGGATTCGCCGTTTAAAGTGTGCTGTTCTTGGGGAACCCTTTCTTCGATTATAGCTAGGTGAAATTAGTTGGGCCTTGACTCAGTATTCTTAACTATACATCAATACAGCTGGGAGTAATCGCTATACTGTATTGTTCAGTTAGGTAACATCCCAGCGTCGACTGGGTGTGAACTACACTTGAAGTTCAGTTTTATACTGGACCTTGTGATAGATGATGACTCAAAGAAGTGCTAATACTATTAGTAGCTTTTAACTGTCGTGTTCAAACTTTCAGATTTATGAGTGGCTGCAATGCAGAGAAAATGTGCTAATTCACCAGCAGAATGAGCAGGGTGCTCAGAATATATAGTGAGACTTTTATTGCATGGTTCAGCAGTTCTAGCACTGAGATGACACCAACATTCGCTAGATCCCATATTAAATATATATACGCAATATACAACGATATTGATATAGTAGAACTCAGAGCAGACAACTTCACGTGTGGCCTCAATATTGCGGAGTGCCAGTTCCTCGGGAAGGGTGAGCCCATCATGAAAGTGACGATCCCGAGGTACTCTTGGCGGGATCAAAAAGGAGTCTCGCAAACTGCCACCACTTGATCGCCTAAACCCGCGCATACCAGCAGCCATTTCCTAACTACTCAACATATATCAACCGCCAAATCCCACCCAATACAAAAAAGGAAGCAAAACGGAAAAACAGCAGACAAGAAGCAAAAATGGCACCAGACCGCTCCAACATTTCCTTCACCATCACCCACATGAACGCCAACCACCAAGACTCCCTAGCAGCCTATCTCCAAGTCTACTGCCACGTCTCCGCGCGCGAAGCCAAATCCGCCCGCCTTGAAGACATCAGCTTATCCGATCTCGTCATCAGCGCCAATGGCACACGCTACACCGTGCCCATCGACCCAGCAATGGGAAGTTTCTCCGAGTCGCGATCCCGCCTGGTAGCCATGCACCAGGAATGTCTTGCGCGACTGGGTCGGTCGGACATCACCATCAAGGAGTATCGGCGGCCAGAGGGGATTGAAATCTTTCTCTTCTTCGTGTTTGCAACGGCATTGGTGGCATTCTCTCGACGCAGTAACTTCCTACCTGGGTCGTTGTTCTACGAAACGGTTGGACTGGGAGCGGTTCCGCCACTGGCGCAACTGTTTTACAAGACCCAGCCGTTTGTGCTTACGGTGATGGCCGGGTCGCATGTGGTGGAGGCGAGTTTGCTCACGGTGAAGAGGTTGAGGCGGCACGGAGTGCCGGTGTTGTCGTTGGTGTGGTGCGCTTGGGTGCTGTCGAATTTGATTGAGGGGTATACGGTGTGGATGAGGTTTGATCGGATGGTGAGGGAGGAGGGGGCGAAGAAGGAGCATCGGAAGTAGTCAGATACATTGTATGTAATTCAGAAGAACAAACATGTCTATCTACCGGATTAATGAACCACAACACATTGAGACACATTGAACTACTACTATTAGACTAGTGTCTCCTGCTCTATTGCGCAGTGGCTTATCGCTTATCGGCTAGTTAGCGGGCATCGACTAGCGGCTTACTCATCACATCACGGGACCACACTAAACCAATCCAAGACTAGGGTAGTAGGGCAACTTCCACAAGCGAGCCACAGTGCGAAATTCAACGGAAGCCGACGACAAGCACTCAACTCCTTACGACCAACCCAACGACCCTTGCCCGCTGCGTTCCTGGTGAAGGGCTGCAGGATTAGAGGTGAGTTTGTTGCAATTAATCCGTCGTGATTTCGATCCCTCTCGATTTTTCCCGGTGTCGTCGACGGTCGGTGTGCGCGTGCAATCTACGATCGGTCTCGAATTGAAGAATACATTCCGGGGTATATCGAAGAGAAGAAGAACAAGAAGAGAAAGATTATCAGAGCAGGTGTTTGGTGCAAGGGAAATATTAGCGGCGGCGACGACGACGATTGAAAAGAAAGAACAACTCAAAGAAAGATTTTTTTTTCTTCGCTTTCTCGTCCATACCCGAATTCGCACACATTTCCAGCATCGAGCATCGCCACACACAACACACTACAAAATAATTTAATACAAATCGACTCGACAATCGCACGAACAACCATCGACGCATTGGGACAGATTTTTCGAAAGAGGGATTGACAATCATCGACAACAGTCTACTACTGCTATTGCTACTAGCGAGCAATCCCGCTAATACTTCTGCCATCTACAGTCCCCTCGAACAGCAAACATGGGTATCTCACGCGACTCTCGTCACAAGCGCTCGGCTACCGGCGCGAAGAGGGCCACCTACCGCAAGAAGAGGTATGCATGAGTTCCTACTGTCTCTATTCCAGTACATCACACTACGAAAAGAATACGACTGACGCACGGCAATCCAACAGGGCGTTCGAGAAGGGTCGCCAGCCCTCCAACACCCGTATCGGAACCAAGAGAATCCACCTGGTCCGCACCCGTGGTGGTAACCAGAAGTTCCGTGCCCTTCGTCTCGAATCCGGCAACTTCTCGTGGGGTTCTGAGGGTATCTCCCGCAAGACCCGTGTCATCGTTGTTGCCTACCACCCCTCCAACAACGAGCTCGTCCGCACCAACACCCTGACCAAGTCGGCCGTCGTTCAGATCGATGCTGCTCCTTTCCGTCAATGGTACGAGGCTCACTACGGCCAGCCCATCGGCCGTCGTCGCCAGCAGAAGACCGAGACCACCGAGGAGAAGAAGTCCAACAGCGTTGTGAAGAAGCAGGCTGCTCGCTTTGCTGAGCAGGGCAAGGTCGAGTCTGCTGTTGAGCGTCAGTTCGAGTCCGGTCGTCTGTACGCTGTTGTGTCGTCCCGCCCCGGCCAGAGCGGCCGCGTGGACGGATACATCCTGGAGGGTGATGAGCTGGCTTTCTACCAGC